AGCAGAGGGTGTGGCAATGTCAGTCACTGAGTGCAAGACAATACCTGGGCTCAGCCAGCGGAGCCCGGCCTTATAATCTTGGCTCAAAACATTAAAGGAACAAAATCCGAAGGGGAAGAAGATAGAGCAACAGCGCTGTCACTCAGGAAAAGACAAGACGATAAATCTGACTAATTTAATACTCTACAAACCTTTGCAATCGTTTTAAAAATACATACTTGAAAGGTCAGGGGTTCAGATCCCCATACCCGCCAGCTGCCAAAAATATAAAAATAAAAATACATGTTTGACCCTGTCACCCCACTCTTTAAAAACCTTGAAATATACAACAAAAGGGAGATGGTTGGATCAGACAGGGCAGGCGCACATAATGGGAGGTCCCGTGGCCATCATAAAGGTGTGTGCAACGTGGTATCATTTGTAAATAATCATGTGCACAGAAAAAACGAAAGACATGTAAGAAATGTGAAGAGTAATGTGCTCTGGGAAGTGAGATTTCTAGTTTGATTTTCCTTTTACTTGTATTTTCTAAGTTTTCCACAATAAACATACATCACTCAGCACGTCTGTAGTAAGAAAAACCTACTGTAGCCACAGGAGTTATTTCTAGAAACCGGCTGATAACCTCCTGTTGCTCACAGGACAAAATACAAACACACCCCACGGCCCACGAGGCCCTCTGGGCTTCAGCTCAGCATCTCTCTCCGTGTGTCCTTCAGCCAGACTTGAAGACGGAGATGCTGCGTTAGAGCTGGTGATCCTCCGGCCCTCAGGAAAGACACATCACAAAGCTCTTCCCAGATGGCTGGGACAGGATCCAGCCCTACGTGTCCTGGCCAAAGCGAATCCACTCACAGTTACACCGATCAATTCACTTTTAGCCTCTGAACACAACTGTGTAAAAAGGAGCCTCGTCTCCCATGAACAACCCTAACTGAGGGCTGGGAAGTGGCCAGTGCTGGACGGTGAGAGGAAGGTCGTGTGGGGGCCGGCTCTGCCTGGAGCTGCGAGCCACCCCTCATACCCCAGCCTCCCAGAGGGATCCTGCGTAGGCAGCATGAAGGGTCCTTCGCACCCACAAGGGTCTCGTGCCGCTCAGCCGAGCACCAACATTCAGAGACAGAGCGGTGCGGTGTTACAAGAGAGGACGGCATCGACCACGCTGCTGGTCTCTCTCTCTCCTTCCACCTCCTAGTTTTTAACATTTTCACTCTGTGGAAGCCAGATGACCTCACACCCCGCTCTGGGAAGGCAGGAACTAAGCACCTCGTACTGCAGAGTCAGCTTTAGCAGTCAGAATTCCCTGATTCTGCCTTCAGGAGCTTGCTTTGCCTGGAATGGAAGCGGCCGGGCACTAGACAAGTCATCTGAATGAAGACTACCACTGCTGACAAGAGCAGAAACAAACTGAGTTATTTCCTAACTAAATGCATTCTGTGATAAACCCACACGCTCTGCACTGAGGTGAGGCGGCTCGGGGAGGCCCCAGAGGCCCAGCCTGCTGCAGGAGGGCCAGCGGCCCGACCCACGTACCCAGGCAGGGATCTCAGCCCAGGCCTGTCGGCCTTCCCCAGACACCTCCTTGTGTTTGGAGAAAGCACACAGAACTTTTAGCCTTTCTGAAAACTACCCTTGTCCTGCCAGGGCCTTCCAGCGCAGCAGTGGTGGAAGCGAGCATGTGCACACGCACGCCACCCCCACGCCACTCCCCACGCCACGCAGAGGGACGTGTGGGTCTCAACCCTGGCCACCCCCAGAAGGAAATGGACTCGGGAGGCACACGTGTATGCGGCGCTGAGGCCCTGCCCTGCACAGAGCCTGACCCTATGCACCACGGCATGTGGGAAGGCGGGCGGCCACAGGAGGGGCCGTGGAGACCCCCTTCTGCCTGGTGCAGAACTCTGGAAACGCTGAGTCACGGAGAAGGAGGTGCTGGGCCTCAGGGCTGACTCTGGGTGGCCTGCTCACCCCTCCTGGGGAAAGTAGCCCCATCCCCGACCCCTCGGCACCTTTCTTCAGCCTCTGGACCTGCAGCTGCACAGCAGACACCTGGGCCGTCTTTGGTTTAAGCACTGCGCTTTAGCTGGGCACAGTCGCATGGCTGCTGAGCTCCCCATCTGTGGGGCCAC